ATGCCTGGATACCACACTGCCCAGGTCCTAGATGCCTGGATACCACAATGCCCAGGTTCTAGTGCCAGCTCTCACCCATTTTCTGCCCCACTTATTGGAGAGGTCAAAGTGGAATTTGGTGGCTGACACAAAGGAGGTGCTGAGATTTGTGAGGCCTAGACACTAGGATGGATATAGGTGCCTGCAAGATTCTGCCACATTTCCTCTGGTCACCTCTAGGGGTCTTTTGTGGAATGCGAGCAATTAAGGCCTTGTGGCAATAAGTTTTTGTGGTTCAGTGATGACTCTATATTGTCAGAGTCTAGTGCTTTTCTAGGCCTTCACCCTGACTGCCCTTCAAAGGAGTCTATGAACACTCGGTTCCCTCTTCGAACTTCATCTCTGGAATACCATGAAAATTCTCTGCTTCACGGTGGAACCCCAGCTAGCTCGACATCTGCTACCAGAGTTTTCAGAGAAAGAGAGCTCGGGAGGATGAGGACTTGGGCCAGCATCTGCTGGCATGGCTCCAACAGTCAGGGCAACCTCACTACAAGGAGGATGGGCATGTCCTGGGAGTGCAGTAGCATGGGCCATCAACTCATCACCAGTATCTGAATGTGTAGCTGGCTCTGGGACACAGGGTGGTGGTAAGGATGGAATGTTCCAGTAAAGAGCAGCCCCCTCCATACCATGAAGGTACTAGTTGTATCCAGTGGCAGAGAGCTTGCAGAAAGAAAAAGTCAGGTTCAGAGTTTGACATTCTTGGTCTAGGACAAGCAAAGGAGGTCAGAGCTCTGTGATCATAACAGCTCTGTCTCCTGTGGCTGGGTTTACACACTTGAGTCAAAGGCCTCAGTGAGTGGCATTCACCCATTCTTGGTCTCTGCCTAGAAGTGCACACACCTTTGTCCTCAGAGAGCATTCTCACTTCAGGGCATCTGCATAGAGGGTGTTACCCTCCCTTGAACCTGTCTATGTGGGTCTCACACTCGGAAAGGGACTCCTATTTTAACCTCAGCTATGCTGACACCCTGGGGACAAGTAAGCAAGTCCTCTGCTACCTCCTCCCCTTCCCAGGTCACCCAGGTGTCTATCTTTTGCCTCCTTAGGCTCTTGGGAAGGTGGCCAGGTCCTGGCTCCTCTTCCTACGCCGCCCGCCCATATCCTCTTTTACACAAATGATAGTCCCTGTATAATGAGTGGAAACCTCACACTTGGGACCTTCTGAAAGCTCCTTGAGGCTGGAATGTGGGTAGAGGCCTCTCTGAACCCTCCTTTCCTCAGAGGCTACTCTTTCCACCTAGGGAACGCTGAGCAATGCTGGGGAACAGGGGAAGCCAGCAGGGCTGGGATTCAGGCAGTACCAGTCTTGGCCACAAGATGGCAGAAACTTCACTCATACAACCTCTTGGAAGCCATAGGAAAGTATCATGAGACAGACTTTTTTTTCTTTTTTCTTGAACCCCACCCAGCCCAGGAGACTGGCTCTTCCTTCAGGCCGTACTAACCACCCTTTGGCACTAAAATGGGTTCTGGGCAGGAAGATGGACGCGGTTGGCTCAGACCTGCCAGGCATAAGGTTCTAGTGCTGGACAGGCCCCTGTTCCTGACTTGCAGGCAGGCAGCCCCAGCCTGGTTCACCAGGTGCCTCTTCCTTGGCCATAGGCCTCTGCCAGGACCAGTTCTTCAGGGCGAGAGTACCATTTGGCTGACCACTCCCTTCCCATCTCCCATCTTGCTGACTTCAAAACAATGTCAGAATCTCAAGAGTTCAAGTGTTTTTGTCTCCTCTCTTCCCCTCCTCTCTCTCTCTCTCTCTCTCTCTCTCTCTCTCTCTCTCTCTCTCTCTCTCTCTCTCCTTTCTATTCTACTCTACTCTCTCTCCTCATCTCTCTCCCTCTCTCTCCCTCCACTTTCTCTCTTCCCCTTCTATCTTTTTCTCCCTCCCCCTTTCCTCTCTTCTCTCTCTACCGCCACTCCTTCCCCTACCCTTTCTCTCTCCTCCTCCTCCTCTCTCTCCCCCTCTCTCTCTTGTCACCTCTCTCTCTACCTGACTCCCTTCCCTCCCATTCCCTCCTCCCTCTTCTCCTCCCTTTCTGGTGTTGTTTTTATGTAAGCATATGATATAAGGGGAAGAATATCACTTTAAGAACCAGGTTGGGGTGATACCTGGCTCAGGAGACTTCTAGGTACCCTAAAGGAAGGGGTCAGCCCTACTTTTGTTATAACCCTTTCCTTTCTCTTCACTGATGTGATCCTGGGAGCCTCACAGGCCTTCCTTCTTTTGCAGATTCCACTGAAAAAAAAAGCTTCTCTGTGTCCAGTGGGAACTGTGCCAAGCTCACTGCTCTCCTGAGAATGTGACAGGAGGCACAGGAAGTGTGCAGCCCTGCCAAGTCTTTCCCCTACCCTTCACCATCCTGAAGGAGCCCCCGCTGACCCCTCCATATATGCCCCTCTTTTGAATCTGAAGAGATCCTATGAGCAGGCAACCATGAGATGGAGAGGGGCCTTCCTCCAGAGCCCAGTGACCTCAGGCCCAGACAGATGGCCTCAGCCCAGCCGCACCTGTGAACACCACAGATGTAAGGAAGTGTCCAGCAGAGGCACAGTGGGCCCATCTGACCTTCAAGGCCTGCCTGGGGAAATCTATTCTTTTAATAAAATTAACAAATAAATATGGCCACTCTGCTTACTGTAAATGCTCTAGTAAGTTCATCATTAGTCACCGACATTCCCCAAGTGCCCAGTATACCTGGTGCACTGCATGGAAACCACATGCTCCTCCATCCCTGGGAAAGCAGGCCAGAGACCCCTCCACTCAGGCCAGGTGGGGCAGCAGCAGGGCCAGCTAGAAATATGTCTACCTCCAGAGCCAACGGTGACCTCAGATGTGCAGGTGCAGCCAATCGCTGACAAGCATTTTCAAAACAGATGACCCTCATCCTGAGCACAGTCTGAGGTGCTTATGAAGAGAAGCAGACACATTAGCAATAAGGAAACGCACCATGAAAGAGGGAGGGGCACCTATAATTCAAACTTCCTCACCCTTCTGTTATTGAAAGTAACATTAAGTTTGATCCAAGCCCCATCTCTACCCACCAAAAGAATTTAGGCTTAAGTGTTAGATTTTTATTTATGTCATTATTTGTAAAATGTACTTGTGTATTTAATCAATGTTCGCTTAAACATTTATTAGCATGAAATAGGCTTTCTAGAACAGAAATTCAACTTGGGGCCCGAAGGAGCCACAGGAAACTGGGGTCTGACTTCTAGGAGGCTTACTTCTCTTGTCTTATGGGAAAATGTCCAGCCGGACGGGAGAGAGGTGGAGGTAGGTGTGTGTGTGTGTGTGTGTATGTGTGTGTGTGTGTGTAAAACACACTATAGCACAGAATTTGTTAGAACTAGATCTGAAAGAAAACCGAGTGTTCTCTAGGTTCAGAAGCAGAAGGAAGATAGGAAACCATCAGGTCGTGTCGCTGGTACAAGCTCCCTGAGCCACTAGAGGGCAGACTGAAACAGAAACACAAAAATACATAGGCACACCCACAGAGACATATACATTCCCAGACACACACAGAAATACACAGGCACACACACACACACACACACAGAGAGAGAGAGAGAGAGAGAGAGAGAGAGAGAGAGAGAGAGAGAGAGAGAGAGAG